CCCTCAGGCTGTAACATGTACAGCTCCTCCAGAATGATCCCATTGAGGAAGGCGGTGGTGATGTCCATCTGCTTCACCCGCCATCCACGGTATGCTGCCATTGCCAATGACACCCGCAGTGTTGTGCCTTTCCCCACAGGAGCATAGAGCTCGTTGAAGTCCTTTCCCTTTGTCTGCTGAAACCCCTTAGCCACAAGCCTTGACTTGTAGCGGGTCAGCGCCCCATCAGGTCCGTACTTGTGCCTGAAAATCAGCTTGGAAGAAATGGCCTTCTTCCCAGGTGGCAGCTCACACAGCTCCCACGTCTCATTCTCTAGCAGAGAATCATACTCCTCCTTCACACTCTGCTTCCACTTTTCAGCATCGGGCCCGCTCAATGCCTCAGCTAGCGTCTTGGGCTCAGGGACGGCTGCCCAGTAGCAGTGTGCTATCTCATCCTCATCACACTGCTCAGCCACACTCCCAGCCCTTACCACCTTTGGCTTGCCACGGCTTGCATAGGTCAGCCTGTTAGGAGGGCGCACATCCCTCCTAGGACGGTCAGCCGTACGTCCGGCACCTTGTGGAGCACCTTGCTCCTCCTGCTGCTGCGGCTGCTGCTGCTGTTGCTGCTGCTGCTGCTCCTCCACCTCAGGTTCTCCCCCATCCTCTGTCACCCCAGAGATCTCATTCTCAGAGACAGAAACCTCCACTTGCCTTGAAGGCCGCTGCACCTCATCGGCCTCTACAATTAGCGGTGTCGTTGGAAGCTTCTGCTGCTGCTGCTGCTTCCACTCCTTGTAGTACAAGGACTCAAGGAACTTCACATCCCTTGACACAGTCAGCTGCTGGCTGGTCAAGTCCCAAATCAGCCAGCCCTTGTGATCCTTAGCAAGCCCCAAGTGCACACCCCATCTCCCAGAAGCTTCCAGTTTTCCCCTCTTCTCCTTAGGCACATGAAACACCACCATGCACCCAAAGGCTCTCAGCATGTTCACAGCTGGTGCAATCCCATATCACTTGGTGTAGGGGACCCACTGCTTGTCCCCCACAGTTGCCAGCACCCTGTTCTTCACAACAACGACCTGCCGCAGTGCTGTCACCCAAAACGGATCCGGCAGCCCTGCACGCCCAAGGAGAGTGCGAGCACCTTCCTGCAGGGTCCGGTTGAACCGCTCAGCCACGCCATTCTGCTGAGGGTTGTAAGGCACTGTGAGCTGATGCTGGATCCCCTTCCGCTTCAGCTCCTTCTCAAAATCAGCGCCGATGAACTCTCCTCCGTTGTCAGTGCGGATCACCTTCACCTTGTGTCCGCTTTCCCTTTGTGCTCTCGGCATCCACTCCTTAAGAACAGCCGCTGCCACCTCCCCCTTAGTCTTGAGAGGGTACACCCACACCGCACGCGTGTGGTCGTCCACAATCGTCAAGAAGTAGCGGCTGCCCGAGAGAGAAAGGGCCCTCGTGGGGCCCACCACATCCATGTGCACTAGTGCAAGTGGTGCCTTGGCTGGTCCTGTGCTGCTGCTGAAGGAAAACTTCGTGAATTTGGTCTCAAGGCAGGTAGGGCAGCTCCCAATCTCCTTTGCTCCCCCCTTCACCTCCAGCCCCTTCAAGCACCCATCCTTTACCAACTTCTGCAGCATAGGAATGTTCACATGGCACAGCCTCTCGTGCCACGTCTCCCAATCAGCCTCACCACTCCCAGATGAAGCCTTTGCCCATGCAGCTGTCGCATCCACACCAGCAAGCACCTCACCATGTGGCTGCTGTGGCTGCTGCACCTTCTTGACTGCATCCAGGGCCCCAGCAGTTGGTGCAGTCTCCTCTCCTCCCGCAGTTGCTTTAGCCGCTGCCGCTGCCTTTGCCGTTGCTGGTGGTTTCCCCTTCCAAGGGATGATGGGCAGCTGCCACAGGTCCTTGATGCAGCTTCTCTTCTCCTCCAAGTTCCACAGCAGCAACTTCCCAAGCTTTGCACGGCAGCTGGTTGGGCCGAAGGTAACTTCAGCCTTGCTCTTCTGCAGCCGGCGCACAGAAAGAAGGTTAGCGGACAAACCTTCAACCAACAGCACATTCCCAAGCCCCACAAGCTCTCCATTGGCTCCCATCACCTTAGCATTCCCAACACCAATCACAGGGAGCAAAGCACCTGAAGCGGCAGCCACAAACTTGATCTTCCCAGGAGGTTTTACCTCATCAAGCAAATCTGCCCGTGGGGTCATATGACTCGTGCAACCTGAATCGATCACCCAGTGAGTGAGGGGGTGCATCACAACCTTCCCAACTGAACCCATATCACCCCCACTCCCTTGCACATCCTCAACCATGAGGAACATCCCAGGGTCGGCTTTACCTTGTGCACCATCACCTTGTGCACCTGATCCTTGCACAGCGCCACCGCGTGCACGTTCACCACTTGGCGGCTTCATGCCTGGAGGGGCCCATCCCTCAGGCCGGCTGAAACACTTGAACCACGGGTGTCCAGCCTTCTTGCAGTACCAGCACGCACCCTCCATTCGGGTGCTCCCCCTGCCACCAGAGCTCCCATGCCCCTCATTGTAGTCACCTCGGCCTCTCCCTCTGCCAAAGCCTCTCCCACGGCCTCGGCCTCTCCCTCCCCCTCTTCCTCTGCTGCCTCCTGCAGCTCCATACCCCTCAGCAGTTTTGTTGGCAGCACCACCTCCCGTGTGGCGCCTGCGGAAGTCCTCTTGCAGAATCTGCTGCCGTAGCCACTCAGGCGTCCATTTGTCCTGCTGAACGTTGAGGGTGGGGATGAGGTTGTCCCACGAGTTGTCGAGCACCGAGATGATCTTGGTGCACTGTTGCATCTGCGACACTTCGCTGCCCGCCGCTGCCATCCTCGCATAGGTGTCCTTGATCTTGTCAAGGACCGGTTTCACATCATCTCCCGGTTTCATGGAGAGGGCAGCCAACTCCTTCTCCAACACAATCACCATCGGCAGCGTGTTGGGCTGAATCACGTCGCGTAGCAGCTTCCATGCCTTCGGTCCGGAATCATCCAACTCCACCAAATCCTTGATGTGCTGGAACATGTCGTTGTTGACCGATTGGAGGATGAGGTCGTACAGCACCGCGCTCTTCTCAATCCACCGATCGCGGGCATCTCCTTCCCCCGGCATCTTCTCCTCTCCCATTGCAATTTTCAGTAGCTTGTAGCGCTTGAAGGCGCTCCGCATCCGCCCGCTCCATTCCTCATAGTTGGAGCCATCCAAAGCTTCGATCTTGGATGGTGGCGGTTCACTCCTCTTCTCAGCTGCATCTCCACTCCCTTGATTCATCTCCTCTGCTCCCAATCAGAGGTTTCAGCTCCCCCTTTTGCTGGTCACAATGTAGATCCACACAATCTTCACAAGTGTCGGCGCCAACGAAATTTCGGCAGAGTTTCCCCTTAGCGGAAGTCACATCCAACCTCCAGAACTCCACTTAGGCACGCCCAGAGGCCATGGTGGGTCTAGGAGGGTCTTCACACTTCAGTAGACTCTCCACAAAGTCCTTAATCAGCTCTGATACCACTTGTTAGAGATTAAGGACGGAGTCTATGAAGATTAGGGGCTGAAATATCTCAAAATCGTCAACTACAATTCTGGACAGAAAAGTCGTCGTCACAAGAAACGTCGTCGACGAAAGGTCCACAGTTAGAATTCTTTCAAACTCGAGTATGTTGTAGCCCTTGACCGTGGCTATCTTTCCCAATTTGAATAGTATCAAAATATGGAGTATAACTCGAGTTATGAACTTCGGCGCACTAGGGGGTATGCTGCCATAGAAAACGTAACTCAATCACAATGATCTCACAAGTTCACACAAGAGAATTGGAGTAGCACTAAACCAGGTGGAAGGGATGAGGAGGACGAGAGGGAAGGTCCCAAGGAGTCCCCAACCAAAGGAAACTCCATGCCACACAATTCCCTTCCCCATAGGCAACCCAACTTTGACCTTTGTCACTATCCCAACCTCCACAATCCACCTCAACCCAACTTGGCCACACTTGCCAACCTGGTTTGGTTTCTCCCAACCATTTGGCAGCAACTACAGTAGAAAAGACGAATTTCCCAACCCCCAAAAGTCTGTACCCCATATTGAGTCAACCCCACAACTTCCCACAGTTGCCACAATCAAATATGAAAAGCATACGAACTCCAACGTTCGTAACTTTCTTGTTCGTGCTCCGATTGAAGCGATACTTGGTTCGTCGGAAAGCTCTTGAGCAGAGGAGTCACTTCAGATATCTGCTCAAGCCAAATAACATTCACACACACACTCAGAAAAACCAAACCGCACAAAACACAAATTCTTGCACACACTCACAACACGCATGCAACGCACGAACATATGATGGGAGGCAGACAGACGTGAATGCGAATGGTAGCATCACTCAACAAGTGGCACCATGTGCACCAGCTATGAGGGCCTTTCCGTTTCTCTCCCCTCTCCTCCTCAAATGCTTCTCTTCCTCTTGCCTTTCCACTCCCCCTTGCCGCCTGACATATCGCGCGCAAGGGCGTGGCTGAGGGTACCATCCGCAACACCTACAAGCACCTGCTCCCCTTCAACCTGCCATTTCCCATCCTAATACTCCATTCCCTACCTGCCTGTCATTCGCCTTTCGCTTCAATCCCCCTACCTGCAGATATATCGAGGGCAACGGGAGTGGCAGAGGGCACCATCCGCAAACACGTACAAGGACCTGCTGCCCTCCCCTTCCCCCTCCACGTCTCCTCTTCCTCCTGCACCTGTTCATCTCCTCTCCCCTTGCATTCCCCCTCCCCCCTTTCTGCAGACATATCGAGGGCAACGGGAGTGGCAGAGGGCACCATCCGCAACACGTACAAGGACCTGCTGCCCTTTGCCTCGCGCCTGCTGCCCGAGTCATACGCCAAACCAGAGGACATTGCCAAGCTCTCCCCCTCGTAGCCCACTTGCCTTGCTGCCACTCACAGTCGTCTTCTCTGCATGTTCTGGGTGACGTGACGGCACAACATGTGAGAGTTGCAAAAGCGACTTCAGTAGTGCTCCCTGACGGGACAACCCTTCATCGCAGCGGTTTCTGACTGAGGCGCTGCAAAAGAAAACACTCAGCTTCATTTTGGGGAGAGTTTATTCTTCAGGTTGTGCTTGCTGTGATTGAGAAGAGAGCGTGTTGTACACTGTACACTGTGATTAAGAAAGCATTGTACAATATATAAACCGAGGCAGCCATGTTGGCGAGCTATCTTCTCCCTTCTTTACCCATTCCATCTCGACGGCACAGATGTTTGTATCGTTACAGTGTGCAGTGCGCAAGCCGTGTCTGAAGCGCTGTATATCCTGAGAGAACGTGGAGGCAACAGAGCCAAAGAACACGGTAGCCTGCACACACACCAGCTTCTCTAGCACCGATGCTGCAATGCCAATGTTCCTGCTGTCGCTCACAATGGAAGCTAATGGTGTAACCCAATCATCAGACTGATTTTGACCTTCAAACTCTGGGTTATTGCTGGTGTTGGTGCTGCTGCACATGCTTCTGGTGATGGTGACTGTGGCACCGTTAGTGGCATTAGTGTATGTGACGATAACGGGGGGTTTATCCAGGGTGCCGGTGAGGGGTGGAAGGCGGTGGAAGGTGATGCTGGTGGGAGTGATGCGAGCTATATTGCGGGTGAGCTCCTGCAGCTGCCAGGGTGTGAGGGGGTGGGAAGTGGGCAGAGAAGGAACTTCTGATGGCTCTATGGGAGAGCCATGCATGCTTCAGGGCTCTGATCCGCAATGAAATGGCACTGCGAGGGTAACCAGACCAGAGGGAAAAGCAGAAACGACTTCACAACAGGATCTTGCTCACAAACTCACCTGCTTGCTCGTGGCTTTCTACAACGCTCACAGCTCACCTTCTTGAGCCTGGGATATGCCACAGTCTCCCCTCCTGCATCCCACACTAATCACTGTACAGAGAGCACGGCACTGCCTCTATCACCTTTTCACTCTGCCATGCATGCACGCACGCATGCTCACCTCCTTGAGCTTGGCGTTGGTGGCAAGGAACAGCTCTTGAATGCCGCTCTCCCTCACCCTCTCCACCACCCAATGCGCCACCTGGGATGCACCAGAGCCAGTAACCATGTTACCACGTGTTATTACGAAGCAGGTTCAACAAGAGATATCTAGCAACGCGGCACCACAGCTCCCTGCAGACGTGGTTTGGAACTACGCTTGCTTCAGTTCAGACTGTGTTGAGCCTCCTTAAGAAAAAAAGAGGGAGAACCTCTCCTGAAGGCAATAAAACCAACCCAAACTGTGCATGTCACCTGATGCACGGGGTAGAAGCAAGCATGTTTGGGCCCGCGCCAGAAGCACCAGGGCTTGAAGTCGCCCCGCCGCCAGTGTAGCGCCAGGAACGGCCGCCCCCCAAACAGCCGCCCCACCAGCAGCTCAGCACTCTCCAGCAGCGCGGGGCGCGGGCGCAGGAGGAGCGGCGAGGGGCAGGCGGCGGAGCGGCGGAAAGGCAGGTCGAGAAAGGGCTGCTGCTGTGCTGTGATGGTGGTGGTGGTTCCATCAGCAGGGGACTGCTGAGGCGTTTCTCTATCCATGTTTTCCTCCACTTGTGCAGGAGGCTCATGTGTGGCGCCCCCTGTTAAAGTCCCTTCATGTGCGTGAGAGACGTGCAGGTTGAGCAGGTCGCCCACCACAAGCACGGGGGAGGGGTTGCTGCCCCAGGCACGCAGCACCTGGCAGGTCAGTGCGGGATTTAAGGGAGGGGAAAATGCGGATGGAAGATGGGAGACGTGCAGGTTGAGTGGGGCCCCCACCACAAGCACAGGCGCAGGGTTGCTGCCCCAGGCATGCAGTACCTGGTACGAAGGTGAAGAGAGGAGGAATGCGAGGGAGTATACGAAGCAGACACATGTGGGAAAGCAAGTGAGTGCGAGGCACTGACCTGCTGTGGAGAGGCGAGCATGGGCAGGCAGGCAGCGTGGGTGGTGGTGTTGGGAGGCAGATGCACGAGAGGAGTGCGGAAGAGCGAGTGGGAGACTGGCACTCGTGTGTCGAATACAACCCCTGGCGTGCCTGCTGCCATCCCACTCCCACCATCGCTTGCCATCCCACCAGCAGCACCATTATCACCATCATCACCAGCTGCATCACCATCACCAGCAGCAGCGCCATCAGCAGCAGCAGCGTCATCATTCCCACCGCTCCCGCTCCCATCATCTCGCCTCGTCTCGTCAAGGCCAGGGCAGTGCAGCAGAATGTTATCAACCTGATCCGCACATGCCCCAGGGGGGCCGTGCCAACACACCACCTGAGACACCTGAACAGGCCGCCTGAATTTTCTCCTGAACTCAGCAGTGGTGAAGACGGTGGGGCCGATGCACGACCTGAGATAAGCGAGATCGAGCACTAAGTGCAGGTCGTAGTTGAGGATGGTTTCAGAGCGGTGGAAAGGGATGATGAGGGTGCGGTTGAGAAGGCCTGCGAGCAGCATGTGGTTGCGCAGGCAGAGCAGACGATTGGTGATCTGCGTGTGTGAGGATGTGAGGGAGAGATAAACACAGATAGGGACGGGATGAGTGTGGCTCACATAAACGTGCAAACCGAACAACGGGTCTTACCTCTCTCTCACACCTCGCATATCTCTCAGAATGGTCAAAGTTCGCGCATTTCTGACCTGCCCTCGCACGCAGTGAGTCAGGAGGAACCGGTTGCTTGCAGGCGTCCACCTCACAGTGCCACGTGTCAGCGCGCCCTGCTCCCACGTGGCATTGAAGAGCGCACCTGACCCCTCGGCGCATTCCTGCAGCAACGGATGGCTGCGGGGAGGGTGTGAGGGGGAAGCGAGACGGCCAGGACGGGGCGAGAGACGGATTGACCGAGGGACTGAAGGGTGTAGACGGGATCGAGGTTGGGGGAAGAGATGCGGAACGCGAGGGAGCGGAGGAAACGAGGGAAGCGGTTGGTGAAAGGAGAAAGACGAAAGGAGAAAGGAGCAAAAAAGGAGAAAGACGAAAGGAGCCAGGGCGTGGGAGAGGCGGGAGGAGAACGACGCACGTGTTGAAAGCTGATTGGGTGCGCCGCAGAATGCACGCCACGACGGCCAATGCATTGCCCGAGGGTGGCCGGCAAGACCAATGCATCGCCCGAGGGTGGCCGGCATGAGCATTGCTTCGCATGAGGGTGGCCGGCATGAGCATTGCATCACCCGAGGGTGGCCGGCAAGAGCATTGCATCGCCCGAGGGTGGCCGGCAAGAGCATTGCATCGCCCGAGGGTGGCCAGCATGAACATTGCATCGCCCGAGGGTGGCCGGCATGAGCATTGCATCGCCCGGGGTGGCCGGCATGAACATTGCATCGCCCGAGGGTGGCCGGCATGAGCATTGCATCGCCCGAGGGTGGCCGGCAAGACCAATGCATCGCCCGAGGGTGGCCGGCATGAGCATTGCTTCGCACGAGGGTGGCCGGCATGAACATTGCATCGCCCGAGGGTGGCCGGCATGAGCATTGCATCGGCCGACAAGACCAATGCATCGCACGAGGGTGGCCGACATGAGCATTGCATCGCCCGAGGGTGGCCGGCATGAGCATTGCATCGCACGAGGGTGGCCGGCATGAGCATTGCATCGCACGAGGGTGGTCGGCATGAGCATTGCATTGCCCGAGGGTGGCCGGCAAGACCAATGCATCGCCCGAGGGTGGCCGGCATGAGCATTGCTTCGCATGAGGGTGGCCGGCATGAGCATTGCATCACCCAAGGGTGGCCGGCAAGAGCATTGCATCGCCCGAGGGTGGCTGGCAAGAGCATTGCATCGCCCGAGGGTGGCCAGCATGAACATTGCATCGCCCGAGGGTGGCCGGCATGAGCATTGCATCGCCCGGGGTGGCCGGCATGAACATTGCATCGCCCGAGGGTGGCCGGCATGAGCATTGCATCGGCCGACAAGACCAATGCATCGCACGAGGGTGGCCGGCATGAGCATTGCATCGCCCGAGGGTGGCCGGCATGAGCATTGCATCGCACGAGGGTGGCCGGCATGAGCATTGCATCGCACGAGGGTGGTTGGCATGAGCATTGCATTGCCCGAGGGTGGCCGGCAAGAACATTGCATCGCCCGATGGTGGCTGGCATGAACATTGCATCGCCCAAGGGTGGCCGGCATGAGGATTGCATCGCCCGAGGGTGGCCGGCATGAGCATTGCATCGCCCCCGGCAAGACCAATGCATCGCTCGAGGGTGGCCGGCAAGAGCATTGCAGTGCACGAGGGTGGCCGGCATGAACATTGCATCGCCCGAGGGTGGCCGGCATGAGCATTGCATCGCCCGAGGGTGGATGGCATGAACATTGCATCGCCCGAGGGTGGCCGGCATGAACATTGCATCGCCCGAGGGCGGCCGGCATGAGCATTGCATCGCCCGAGGATGGCCAGCATGAGCATTGCATCGCCCGAAGGTGGCCGGCAAGACCTGTCAGAATATTACAATCTAGCCTCTAATGGGGTGCTCTATAGCGAGTACAACCCTGTTAGGGTTTGCTATATGTATCCCAACTACTGCTAGTGAAACCCCTCCTTTCTTCAATTCTGTTTCTGCCTGCTAACTTTAACAAGACCAATGCATCGCCCGAGGGTGGCCGGCATGAGCATTGCTTCGCACGAGGGTATGAACATTGCATCGCCCGAGGGTGGCCGGCATGAGCATTGCAGCGCGCGAGGGTGGCTGGCATGAACATTGCATCGCCCGAGGGTGGCCGGCATGAGCATTGCTTCGCCCGAGGGTGGCCGGCAAGACCAATGCATCGCCCGAGGGTGGCCGGCATGAACATTGCATCGCCCGAGGGTGGCCGGCAAGAGCATTGCATCGCCCGAGGGTGGCCGGCATGAACATTGCATCGCCCGAGGGTGGCCGACATGAGCATGGCATCGCCCGAGGGTGGCCGGCATGAGCATTGCATCGCCCGAGGGTGGCCGGCAAGAGCATTGTATCGTCCGAAGGTGGCCGGCATGAACATTGCATCGCCCGAGGGTGGTCGGCATGAGCATTGCATCGCTCGAGGGTGGCCGGCATGAGCATTGCATCGCCCGAGGGTGGCTGGCATGAGCATTGCAGCGCGCGAGGGTGGCCGGCAAGAGCATTGTATCGCCCGAAGGTGGCCGGCATGAACATTGCATCGCCCGAGGGTGGTCGGCATGAGCATTGCATCGGCCGACAAGACCAATGCATCGCCCGAGGGTGGCCGGCATGAGCATTGCATCGCACGAGGGTGGCCGGCATGAATTTGCATCGCCCGAGGGTGGCCGGTATGAGCATTGCATCACACGAGGGTGGCCGGCATGACCATTGCATCGCTCGAGGGTGGCCGGCATGAACATTGCATCGCCCGAGGGTGGCCCGCATGAGCATTGCATCGGCCGACAAGACCAATGCATCGCCCGAGGGTGGCCGGCATGAGCATTGCATCGCCCGAGGATGGCCGGCATGAGCATTGCATCGCACGAGGGTGGCCGGCATGAGCATTGCATCGCCCGAGGGTGGCCGGCATGAGCATTGCATCGTCCGAGGGTGGCCGGCAAGAGCATTGCATCGCCCGAGGGTGGCCGGCATGAACATTGCATCGCCCGAGGGTGGCCGGCATGAGCATTGCATCGCCCGAAGGTGGCCAGCAAGACCAATGCATCGCTCGAGGGTGGCCGGCAAGAGCATTGCATCGCACGAGGGTGGCCGGCAAGAGCATTGCAGCGCACGAGGGTGGCCGGCATGAGCATTGCATCGCCCGAGGATGGCCGGCATGAGCATTGCATCGCACGAGGGTGGCCGGCATGAGCATTGCATCGCCCGAGGGTGGCCGGCATGAGCATTGCATCGCCCGAAGGTGGCCGGCAAGACCTGTCAGAATATTACAATCTAGCCTCTAGTGGGGTGCTCTATAGCGAGTACAACCCTGTTAGGGTTTGCTATATGTATCCCAACTACTGCTAGTGAAACCCCTCCTTTCTTCAATTCTGTTTCTGCCTGCTAACTTTAACAAGACCAATGCATCGCCCGAGGGTGGCCGGCATGAGCATTGCTTCGCACGAGGGTATGAACATTGCATCGCCCGAGGGTGGCCGGCATGAGCATTGCAGCGCGCGAGGGTGGCTGGCATGAACATTGCATCGCCCGAGGGTGGCCGGCATGAGCATTGCAGCGCGCGAGGGTGGCAGGCATGAACATTGCATCGCCCGAGGGTGGCCGGCATGAGCATTGCTTCGCCCGAGGGTGGCCGGCAAGACCAATGCATCGCCCGAGGGTGGCCGGCATGAACATTGCATCGCCCGAGGGTGGCCGGCAAGAGCATTGCATCGCCCGAGGGTGGCCGGCATGAACATTGCATCGCCCGAGGGTGGCCGACATGAGCATGGCATCGCCCGAGGGTGGCCGGCATGAGCATTGCATCGCCCGAGGGTGGCCGGCAAGAGCATTGTATCGCCCGAAGGTGGCCGGCATGAACATTGCATCGCCCGAGGGTGGTCGGCATGAGCATTGCATCGCTCGAGGGTGGCCGGCATGAGCATTGCATCGCCCGAGGGTGGCTGGCATGAGCATTGCAGCGCGCGAGGGTGGCCGGCAAGAGCATTGTATCGCCCGAAGGTGGCCGGCATGAACATTGCATCGCCCGAGGGTGGTCGGCATGAGCATTGCATCGGCCGACAAGACCAATGCATCGCCCGAGGGTGGCCGGCATGAGCATTGCATCGCACGAGGGTGGCCGGCATGAATTTGCATCTCCCGAGGGTGGCCGGTATGAGCATTGCATCACACGAGGGTGGCCGGCATGACCATTGCATCGCTCGAGGGTGGCCGGCATGAACATTGCATCGCCCGAGGGTGGCCCGCATGAGCATTGCATCGGCCGACAAGACCAATGCATCGCCCGAGGGTGGCCGGCATGAGCATTGCATCGCCCGAGGATGGCCGGCATGAGCATTGCATCGCAGGAGGGTGGCCGGCATGAGCATTGCATCGCCCGAGGGTGGCCGGCATGAGCATTGCATCGTCCGAGGGTGGCCGGCAAGAGCATTGCATCGCCCGAGGGTGGCCGGCATGAACATTGCATCGCCCGAGGGTGGCCGGCATGAGCATTGCATCGCCCGAAGGTGGCCAGCAAGACCAATGCATCGCTCGAGGGTGGCCGGCAAGAGCATTGCATCGCACGAGGGTGGCCGGCAAGAGCATTGCAGCGCACGAGGGTGGCCGGCAAGAGCATTGCATCGCACGAGGGTGGCTGGCAAGAGCATTGCATCGCCCGAGGGTGGCCGGCATGAATTTGCATCGCCCGAGGGTGGCCGGCATGATCAGTGCATCGCCCGAGGGTGGCCGGCAAGACCAATGCATCGCCCGAGGGTGGCCGGCATGAGCATTGCTTCGCACGAGGGTGGCCGGCATGAACATTGCATCGCCCGAGGGTGGCCGGCATGAGCATTGCATCGCCCGAGGGTGGCCGGCATGAACATTGCATCGCTCTAGGGTGGCTGGCAAGAGCATTGCATCGCCCGAGGGTGGCCGGCATGAACATTGCATCCCCCGAGGGTGGCCGGCATGAGCATTGCATCACCCGAGGGTGGCCGGCATGAGCATTGCATCGCCCGAGGGTGGCCAGAAAGAGCATTGCATCGCCCGAGGGTGGCCGGCCTGAGCATTGCATCGCACGAGGGTCGCCGGCATGATTTTGCATCGCCCGAGGGTGGCCGGTATGAGCATTGCATCGCACGAGGGTGGCCGGCATGACCATTGCATCGCTCGAGGGTGGCCGGCATGAACATTGCATCGCCCGAGGG